CTGCTGCCACAAAGGTTGGGGACGGCTGCTTTCGGGCGTCGTTCTCACACCTCCCCAGACATGTGGATTATGCATCTTTGCAGTAGCCTGGGAGGCTGTGCCACATGGGGGGTTTGAGGCAGACACACCCACCAGCTCCCCTTCTGGACAGCTCAGGCCCAGGAACTGCTGGCAGATGTCCCCAACCAGCTCCTGGGGTGTTCCCGGGAAGGCAGTTGGGAGTCTATCAGAAAAACCATAAGAACACATTCAAAGAGTGTGTCCACTGAAGGAGCACTTCGTACGGGGAACGGTGTGGGACCATACGTCCTATGGATACCTCTCTCCTTTGTAAAACAAAAGCAAAGCTCTCCTGCTTTAGTCCGAGGATGAAGATGACCGCCAAAGGCAGGGAGGGCCATCTGCTTTCTCCCCACCACGGGAGACTTGAGCACTTGGAAGAGGCTCATTGTCAAGACAGATATATGCACAAAATATGCCACAGAGACACACAGACACACACCAGGCACACACACACAAAGGTGTACCACATGGACACAAGACACACAGCACACAGACACATACCAGGCACCTACACACCCACATGGACATATCTCTCTCTTACACACACACTGCATGGACACCTATCAGGTGTACACACGCAACACACACACACAATCAGGTGTACACACGCAACACACACACACACGCTCCACCTTCGAGTGCCTTGGAGTTCCCTGAAGGGTTCTTTCTCTCATTTGATGTCTCCATTTTACGTGTCAGAAAACATAGGCTGAGGAAGAGGGAAGATTTGCCTGTGTGGTCCGGCAAGTGGTCAGTGGGGTGATGGGACCCACCTTCGTGCTTCTGGGGAACTGCAACTTGCCCTGGCTGAGGGCAGCGCAGCTCTCAGGGAAGATCTCCCCCTGCTTCAGGACTATTGCTAGCGGCCCCAACCCCCAGCTGGAATGCTGCTTGGCCCATGGTTATGCGGTGGGTGGGGGACCAAGGGCCCGGCTGCACCTCCAAGCTGAATTTCTCAGCCTGGATGGTAGCTCCAGGGCGGTCACTGCATCATGAAGAAATACTCCATAGCAGTTGTTAGCATCAGCGAGGTTGACTCTGAATGAAACCTCAGCTCTAAGCCCCCAGGAGTACGAGTCAGGGCTCGGTCCAGGTTCCCCACAGCCGAGGTGTACCACATGCTCCTCAACCATGCGACAGAGGCTCCCACAGATGGGACTTCCTTCGCTGCTGAATGCAGGCAAGTGACACAGGGCTTATGTGACAAGGAATTTTCTAACTGAGAGCATCCCTATTAGAACCTAATTTAGCAGCACAAACTAAGGTCTGAGAAAGTGAGCTCGCAGAGGAACTTCAACCCGAGGTGCTCCCCAGCAGATGGGTCATCTCCTCCAGGAAGACTGGGCAGGTCCTTGGCACCTGCAGTTGTCCAGTAATGCTGGGGCAGACGTGTGGAAGCCACAGGTTTCTGAACTATTGCCAAGGCCACTCTCACCCCCTTCTGCAGTGGTTTCCTTCTAGGACAGATCCTGGGAGCCAATGGTCCAGGGTGCCCACCTCCCCGGGCTGAGGCACTAGCAGGGTGTGGCCTGAGGTCCACTTGGCGCCAGTCACCGGGCAAGGCCGGAGTGCCTTGGGGGAGGGGCTCTGGAGAGGCCCCTAAGAGATGGCCCCCCTCCCCAGTAACTTGGCAGGCCTGAGATCAGTGGCTGACGGGTCCCTGAAAAAGCCAGCCAGCCCCTCCTCTCCCAAACCACATCAAGATGCGGTCAGAGCTGCCTTTGTGCCTGGGGAGGACTGGGCCAGCTGCCCTGGAAAGTGCCACCTGTGGGCACCTGCTGTATCTCCTCAGGGATCTGAGGGGGCAGCCAGGCCCTGGGGACACCCACCGGATGGGACCTACTGAGGAGACCTCTCAGAGACATGAGTGTCACTCTGGACAGAGAAGGCAATGCCCAGTGGCAGTTGGGGGCAGCCACCAGGAGGACTTGCTCCCTACACAGCTGTCACCACCCACCCTCCCGCCAGGAATAGACTGTTTGCATCAGTGGAGGCTGTGTGGCCTGGCCCTGCAGTGTACACTGCTGCCCATGCTAATGGACTTTGGTACGTGAGAGAACTGAGCCTCCATGTGGTCCTGGTCCTCCCAAACAGCCTGCTGAACCCCCAAACATGTGCCCAGGGCCAGCCCCAGCAGCCAGACCTGCGTGGCCAGGGGTGTGAGCCAAGTGCTGACAGCCCAACAGCAAGCCCCGCCAGCTCATTCAGCTCCTGTCTACAAGGGACTGACGACTTCAGCATCACCAACTCTTCTGCCGCGAGTGTCTCGAGGAACAAGAGCCGGAGGGAGACAGGAGGCATGACCACACGGAGGCCCAATTGGGCTTTCCCATGTGGGGAGGCTCCACCTGCCGCCACCCATGCTCCTTGGGGACTTGCTGCTGTCCCTGCTGCTCAGTTGTGCTTGGCGGATACATATGACGAGCTCAAGAACTTTGTTGAGTGAACAGTATGTTTTTAAAAGCCAGTCCGTCAAGGTAAATCCATTTCACTTCCTAAAAATGTGCAGTATTTCCCCTAGATAAAAATACTTCTATGGGTTTCTAAAGTGGAAACAAGCTTTCAAATGAGAAAGAAAAAAGTTTTAAGCCAGTTCAGTGATGAGGTCCAGAGTTTATTACTCCCGGAAGAACAGATCCACACACAGGTGGGAGCCACACATTGGCATCCACAGAGAGGAACGGGAGGGGACCCAGGCCGCGGGGCAGGGGCCAAAGAGCGGCATCCGTGGGTACACCGGGCATTTCATGGTTTCATATGTGTGCGCCCTCTCTGAGAAGGAGAGCCACTGTGGTGAGCCCCTCCCATTCCATAGTGGCCTCCAAAGGCCCAGGTATGTACAGAAACACATGTGCGTGCATGGAAACATGCCTTCCCTGGTCCCTTGTCCAGGTCCCAGCTACAGGTCTGACAAGACCCGAACCCCAGGCAGGACTCACTGCCATCGGCATTCAGGACTGGAGATCAGAAAGGAGAGAGTGCTCTTGTTGCCCCAAAGGCAGATCACAGCCAGAGGTGTCCATGCACCACTGAGTTTGCTCCAGAACACACCCTGAATGGCTCATCTCTCGAGCGGACAGTAACGCAGGCCGTGGCCCTGGGGCTCCTGTCCCCTGCCAGCTGCTGTTGAGGATGCTGTGAGCCTCACCTTGATTCCCGATATCGTGGCTTGAGGAAATATCCCTGCTCCCAGACCATACTGTCCACCAAATTCCACACTTGCTTTTAGAGAAATGCCAGTGACCACTGTGGTCAGGGAGCACCACTGACGGCGCTCTGACTCCGAGCACCTGACATCACCCGGCATGGGGTAGGGTGAGTAGAGGGCTGTCAGGTAGAGTCCTGGGATGCGTGTGCAGGGCTCTCCTTGCAAATGTGCCTGTGGCTCAGGGCCCCTGGCCTTCTGCCATAAGTCAAAAGGGCTTTACTCACTTGCTCAAGACAACCACGATTATTCTTCAGTCTTGAGAGGAAAACCCTAAGAATGCTAGCTAGCCAGGTTATAAAAGTAAGCCCTACATTTTCAGAACTCCCCAGGCCTTGTATGCAGATTACTGAGCCCGGGCATCGTCACTGCCCACGAGTCGCCTTTGTGAGAGCATCATGGGATGTCAGATGCTCCCCTGGCCCCTGCATGGTCCATCCTGATAAATGCTTGTCTCGGCTAACACTCAAGCCCCTCCTTTAGAAAAGGCCAAGGAAGCCCACAGTACATATAATGACCGAGGAGGAAATGTCTCGCTAATAAAGAGTGGGGGACCAGAGGCCCGCTCCCCAGAGCTGCTCTTTTATTGAAAACTGAGTGGACCGTGCTGATGGGCCAAGGTGGAGGGGATCAAAGCCCGGAGGTACCTGGTCTCGGAGGCCTGGGTGTGTCCCGGGGGCCAGGGGGCGCCGGCAGCCATGTGCTGCTGGGGCAGCTGATGTCCCCCTCCCCCATCAGGGTCAGGTCGGCCACGTGCTCGTCCTCCACGGTCTGGATGCCCCCGGCTTCTACTTCTCGCGACTGCCTCTTCCAGATCTGTGTCGCACCCTCCTGCGTGAGGGGCCCAGGAACCTGGGGAGTACAGAGGGGCCCGCTAGGAGGCTTCTGCCCAGGCGAGGTCGTTTCCAGAGGCCCAGGGGGGCTGTGGCCCGAGCCAGGGCTGGTAGATGGGCTGCCACTGCTGTCCTGGGCTGGTTCCCACTGCTCGCCGAGCTGGGAAGCATCCTCCCTGCTGCTGCTGCTCACAATTCTCTTGCTAAAGCCCTTGGCTGCGTCTGGGGAGGACAGGGTGAGTTCTGTGGCACCAGGAGGCAAACGAAGAAACTCCGGCAACACCAGGTCTTCCTTCCTTAGCAACCCACGTTGGTCATCTGCTCTGTTGCTCTGAGCTTTGGAAATGAGCTCAAAAAACTCTATTGGAAGAAAACCGATAGTGAGCATGTTTTAGAGAGCGTCACAGGAATGTGCATCACAAAAGAACACTCACTCTCTAGAAAGTTCCATCGTGGGTTATCCTTGTGCCCTGACTAACCAGGTCAATCATTCTACACTGTCTTCACACACAGAAGCAGAAGACCCTGGGGCTTCTAGCACAATCTGTTTTCAGGCGTCTGAAATGGCTGTACACCTCTGTGAACATAATGCCATGTGAAGCCCAGGCTTGAATAAACAAACCTCCCCTACTTGACCGAGTTATGTGCTGACGGTGTTTTAGTAGGGTGCTGTTAGACATCCCGGCGTGAGTTTGGAGGTAAGCTTCCCAGGACGGCCAGCCTCCACAGCACCACAGAGCCAAGGTCCCAGCTGCAGCTGCAGTCCCTGAACTGGGGACAAGATAAGCCATCCCAGAGAAGGGGAAGAAGAGAAGGCCCCGAGACAGCGGTGTGGGAAGGAGGACCCTCAAACATGCCTGCCTCTCAGGGTCACTGCCTCGGGCAGAGGCTGGTCCTCCCGGCCTGCGGAAGAGGAGGCCACGTGTGACCTCCCTTTCCTGTCTGAAGCCCCGCAGCCTCACGGGGCCAGTCCAAACACCCGGGCCTCCACTGGCCCAGCATCGGCAGGGCCCGAGACATCTCTAGCGTCTTCACCGACTCCTCAAGAACCCTTCTCTTCCTTATCCATGCTGGACTTCTTTAAAATCAGAACTCAAGTTCACCATTCAAAGTCGATAGTATCTAAACTGAGCTTTCTCTAGCATTTACATATGCTCTTTGAGTCTGTAAACAACTGCAAGGAGTCTAAAATCTCAAACTTGAATGGTTCTCAGAAATGCATAAACTTCAAAGAGGGTGTGTGTTTTACTTCTGCCTGGTGACCAACAAAGGCTGAAGGAGGCATGTTTTAGGGTTTTACTGTGAGGTGGGACTCCACAGCAAGCTGGGACAAGCCAAGCAAACTAGCAACTACTCCTGGATGAAAATTCAGGTCACGGTAACAGCTTTTAGTTTTGATTCTGCTTTCAGTGCTTCTCTTTGTTATAAGCTTTTGGAGAAAAAAGCAGTTTTGAGAAAGGACTCATTTCTCCATCTCAGTCTTCCAGGTGCATCTGTCATCTCCCTGGGGCTACGACAGTACAGGCTGGCCTTCCTCAGTCTCCCATGGCTGACAGAGGTCAACAAACCCATGGTCCTCCCAGGGGCTATGCCTGGTGAGGACCCTCGGTCACGGGGACCCTCTAACACTAACTGAACCTCTCCCTGAGCTGGAGACCCCAGCTCAAGTCAGGGGTCAGGGCGTGGGGAGAAGCTGCAGGCTGAACCTGCGGGGACCTTTGGCGTCTCAGGGCAGACATGTCGCTGATGACAGACAGGGTTCCCTGACTCCCTAGAAAGCCTGGTGCTCTCAGTGAAAATAGGGGATTCAGTGTAGTTATCCCAACAGCCCACAGAATGGCCCAGGAGGAGCACATCCTCAGTGTGACAGGAACCGTGGTCACCCAGATGCTGATAGGTCAGAGGTGGTATCAATGACTGTACTGGAAACTAACAGTGCATTTACTAAAACACGTGGAAGTTTTAAAAAGTACACATACCCTCTGCTTCGTCCAAATTAATTTTCTGATATTTTTTTTTCCCAATCTTTGCAATAGATTCTTCTCTCTTTGAAATCCGGGGATCCCTAGCATTTTTTCCATTTTCTCCTTTTATTTTAATAGAATTAGACTTGCCTAGTGTTCTTTCCTCTCCCTGTATTAGAAGGAAAGTCAAAGTTCTACTTTCATTTCAACACACAATATATAATCCATCAGTTATAGATTAAAAGCTCTATGAAATACAGATTGCATTGATACAGAACTTATATGCATCACAGAAAAAACAATTGCAATGAGAAAGCTTACAAAAAAGAACAGCATTTAAGGCATAGCCACCCCCACCTCAGGAGAAAAGAAAGTCAGTAGCTGGGGGTTCACAGGTAGAGGGCACTGGGCACAAGCAGGAGTGATGAGCCGGTGACACGCAGGCCGGTCCGGGAAGCACCAGGACCTGCCCTGGGGCTGAGGTACGCAGCCGCAGGCAGGGGCCAGCCACACGGAGAGGAGCAGGGCACAGAGTGGGCAGGCTGGGGAATTACCGTAGCCGAGTGATTTCTGGAGCTGGAACTGATGGCTGTATTCTGCTTGACTGCTACACCTTTCTGTTTATCTGTGGGCAGGAAACACAATGATATAAGCTCTATAATTACAGTGATGGGCAGACCCCTCTGAACCATTATGCAAAATCTGTTTCTACAGTCTTTGCGAGCCAAGCGATAGACCAGCCAGGAGGCATTCGCTGCCCTTATCTACCAGGCACGGGCCAGAACTGGGACGCCCCATCTGGGCAGGACAAAAGGCCCTCCTCCATGTGAGGGGGTGTGGGGACACAGCCGTCTCTCAGTAAGTATAACCGGGGACTTTTTGGAGGAGAGATGTTGAAAAACTCACTATCTGGCATGAATATTCTTTAGAAAGTTGAAGAGTCTTGCATTTATGACATATTTTCAAGCGCAGCCTTTGTCCCACGTCAGGGTCACAGGCTGGCCTCTGCCAGCACTAACAGTATCAAGCCCACTTCCCTGGCCTGGCTGCAACAAGAGGAACCACAGTCCTGCCTCGCATACAGCATGAGCATGCTGAGTGGCCTTTCTCTAGCTCTACTGTAGGACTCACTTGCGCACAAACAGCAGATCTGGCCAAGGATCCGCTAAGGGCAAAGCTGGTGGCCATCCTGCTCAGCTGTGCACGCTGTGCTCATCTCAACCCACCAGTGTGCCAGGGGCAGCACTCTTTAGAGCAGACGTGGGCTGGAGGAAGGGTCTCTCCTCTGTGAGGAGGTGTGGAGGAGAGCAAGGCCTAGAGCTCCACAGCACGTGCTTCTGCCTAGAACCAGGTCTCACCCAGGTCTGCCTCAGGATGGAGACAAGTGACTCACAAATACCCTGTGTGATCATTTCAGAATGAACCATCATCTGCGTTAAGGCCCTCACTGGGCCAAAGTCCTGACAAGGGGAGGGGCAGCCCAAAGTCATCCGAAGCAGCTCCTTACTAAGTGACCTCTACCCAGAGCATCTGTGGGTGGGTTTCCAAAATGCTCTCTCCAGGAGATGTTTCCTCCTTTTCTTGTCCCTCCACCCGGACAGCCTTGGGGCCACACCTGTGCCAATCTGTGGGACACATTCCACCAGGTCTGAGTAAACTTTCCTTGTGTACAGGTTCCTATGTAAGTGCCCTGAAGAGGAGGGCTGGCTCCCGAGGTGTCAGGATGAGGCACAGGGGGATGTGGCCATGCCCAGCTCAGCACGTTGCTGGCCAGACCCTGGCTTCCCTAGGGTAGGACTGTAACCAAGATGACATATGGGAAAGAGCTCTGTCCACCTGACTTGCCGCATGCAATGAACCACAAGATAAACCCAAATATAGCCTCAGTTCCTGTAAGCAGAGCACAGCCAGTCCACCATCCTCACTTCCTGTGTCATGCCCGCAGGGAAGGGAACCAGATCAGGGTAGCAGACAGGGGACCAGGAGGCCCAGACCATCTTCCTTTTGGGTACAGACTCTAAATCCTCCCAGGAAGATAGCACATTCTAGCACTTTCTAGTTACAGTGCTCTGATCCATGAGCATGTTAGGGCCTCAGAGCAATCCTGGGGCAGGCTAGACAGGGACTGTCACCATTTTTACAGCTGAGAAGACACACACTGGAAGTCAATGCACTGTGTAGAACAGGGCTGATTTCAGTCCCTCAGATGCCCAGTTTGAGAATGCTGCATTGAGGGTCAAACTCTGCCATGCTAGGGGTTACTCGGCACCAGTAAGGTCCTGAACTCCAGTAGGCCATCTGAGTATCAGTTACGAGTCAACAGTTGCTTATCCAGTGGGCAACAGAACCTGGGGTGCTGGAGGACAGAGTGGAGCCAATCCCACTCACCTTTTCCTCTGGAAGGGTCCTTCTCCTCCAGGATGACACGCTGTCCATCCAGACTCGATATTGGGGCGCCGAGGTCCAGGGGTTCCTTTTCTCCACTCTAGGACAGATATGGGGCACTGAATAACTTACTCAGAATGGAACTTTCGGAAACAGTAGTATGTGATCCCACCACTGACTGTGAGACCACCCCAGACTTGATGGAATCACACATAAGATAAATCTGTGGCCCAGTCAAGGCACGCGGGCCACCCAAAGAGCCAGAGGCCTAGCCAGACTCCTGACGTGGAGAATTCCAGATACCTGGCCAGCCTATGAGAGTACTAGTGCCCCAAGGAATTGGTGTGGTGGCTCTTTTTGCCATCCCGGGGTGGGGGGGTAGCTGCTGGTCTACACTGTGCCCATCCAAGGCCCAGAAGCAGAACAACATGTGGTGAATACCGGAAACCTCTTCATCCACAGATTTGATGTTTTAAATATACGTAGAAATACTCTTAAATATCAATTTAAGATGGCATACAAATCTCCACATTGCTTATAATCTGGATAACAGCTTACCTAAACACTACTTCATAATCTTTTTTAAATTTTTTTGAGATCTTTTTTTTATTTTACATTTTTTTAATTTTAAAGATGTGGGGTACAATTCAGGGTGAGGTATTTGGTACAAATGTTCATTATGCACGTACCCTTGTTGATGAGGTATGCCCCCACCCCCAGCAGATTCCAACTACTGCCAATCCCGCCCCTTCCCTCCCCTGGCAGTTTCTCACTACTATCAATCCTTACTTCATAATCTTCAAACACTGTTGTGAGGTGAATATTAACAGCAAAATGTTCTCATTTGTAAATAAGGAAGCAAAGACAATTTGGGGAACAGATCTAATCCAAATGAAGTGCCATTAGCTACAGAACTAGAGCTCTTGTCTCTGGGTAAGAGTTTTTCTTCACTGGAGAATCTTGCTATTCCTGTACCATAATTACTGCTAGAAAAGAAACTTGAGGCCAGGCATGTTGGCTCACACCTGTAATCCCAGCACTCTGGGTGACTGAGGCAAGAGGACTGCTTGAGCACAGGAGTTTGAGACCAGTCTGGGTAACATAGCAAGACCTCATCTCTACAAAAAAATCAAAAAATTAGACAGGCATGGTGGCACTCAGCTACTCAGGAGGCTGAGGCAGAAGGATCACCGGAGCTCAAAAAGTCAAGGCTGCAGTGAGCCATGATCGTGCCACTGCACTCCAATCTGGGTGACAGGGTAAGACCCTGACTAAAAAAAAAAAAAAAGGAATCTGAACTTGCAGTTTGCCATTTTAAATTCCCCGTCAGTCAGGAGAACGAAAAAAACAATCAAATGCCAAGTGGGAGTATGACTAGAGCTCCTGGAGGGAACTGGGTTCAGGTTATGCTTATGGCCCCCAGGTCCAGAGCCCAGTGAGACCTGCTGGATGAAGAAATGGCCGAGCTGACACTGGGGTTCCTACCTTCTTCATGACATGCCTGGGCACAGATGGGCCCACAAATTTCACTGGAGAAGGTCGGGAAGGTGTGTCCAAGGAAAAGGAACATCCCAAACAACCCATTCCACAAGAATTCTAAACAGCCCCTGCCTCAGCTCTAACCCTGCAGGGCCTGGAGCTCTCATCAGCTGAACTATTTTCTTCCCAGGGCCTTGGCATCCAAGAGTTGAGCTCACTGGGGAGTGAGCCCTGCAATGCCATGGGCACGCTGACATGACCAACCCATTTACAGACAGGGAAACTAAGACGTAGAGGGTTAAGCAACTGTTTAGGAACTCCACAGAATAAGAAAGAGGGCACACCTGGAAGCCAGGTCAGGTCTGTCTCTGACTGGCAGTTTTCTAGACTCCAGACAGAGCCTGCAGTGGGAAAAGAGGTTTCAGGTTACCCTTGGAGCTGGCGGCCGTAAATAATTTAATAGTTCCTCTTGTTTACTTCAAAGCTCTTGGACAATTTTGAGGCCGGTTTCAGGGAAAATTAAAAGGCTAAAAATACCTGAACTCATAAAATTGATGCAGAAAGGCCAAGGCCAGGCCCAGGCTGTGCCCTAAGCCACATGCTTCAGCATAAACCCAGTGTGCAGCTCAGGAACGCTGTCCACCCAAGCTGGCTGGTCCTGTCCAAGGCCTGTTTTCACTCCCCAAAAAGTGTTTTCTCTTCTTTACTTTTTAATTTTATTTTACAGTTGTGGGGCACACGTGAGGATTTGCTATATAAGCAAATGCATCGCAAAAGACTGAATACCAAACAGTGCTTGCTTGCTTAGCCTCATTCACATCATAAGGGAGTAGTCTGGCTGTCTCCAGAATGGGAGAATGCACCTGAGGGAGGCCTCAGCAAAAGGACTGGCCAGCAGGTGCAGTGAGGTAGCCATCTGCACTCTGTTACCTGATCGCCTCTGCAGATCCTGGGGATGTTTCAGGGTTAGCTGGTTGGTTTGTTTCTCATTTTGGTTTCCCTGGAGCAAAGCCATATTGCAAATATCAATTCTTTTTGGAATGACCAAGGACAAATAAAAAAATTACTGTTCTACTCCACAGAATGAGAGCAGGGACGGGGTGGGGGGGCAGTGTCCTCGGATCCAAGAAAGACAACCAGATAGGAGGGGGAGACGCCATTGCTTGGTGTGTCCTCTCTGGTGAAGAACACAGAAGCTACCAAAAGGAGCAAATTATTCCTGCCCAGGGCTAACACCCAGACCCTGGGAAGACACTCACCAGCCTCACCAGCAGGCCACTGAGATCCAGGCCATACTTGGCCACCACAGGCCGCAGCACCTCTGTGACAGGCTTGGTGGGCTTGGCCTTGAGTCCCACTGACCGGTTAATTGGAACGAGATCCAGCCTAAAGGGGCACGAAAACATTCACCACCAATCCAAGTCAATCCTCACCAGGAAACCAGTCTCAAGACCAGAAAGAGGGACAGCACTGCAGGAGCCCTCAATACCCTCCCCCCCAATTCAGCCCCACCTCTGGCTATGAAGTACCTTCCCCCATGTGAGAAGTCTGCAGAGGGTTCTTCCTATATTCACAGTCAGGGCTTGAGGGCTGTGGCCCTTGTCCTCCCAGGGATGGCAGGGCTCTGCCGAGTGGCCTGACCGCCCTGGGCACCCACTGCAGAGACAGCACCTACCTCACCTACCTCCCTTCCCCGCTGCAGTCTTAAGGGACTGTGCCCACCAGGCCAGGGTGGCCTGTGTGTGGGGCAGGAAGGAGAGTGCCCCTCTCGCCCCTTGGCTTGTGTGGGGCTGCCTGGCATCTGCCACTCTCTGCCCCACTGACATCCCTTCATAACCCAGCACGGAACAACCACCATCTATCCACTAAGCGCCAAGAGACAAGCAGACGGTTGGAACATGGGAACAGTCATAAGCAGCAGTACAGGAGGCTCTGGAAGCCTCATGGTATGTGACAGCCACATTTTCCTCTTACCGAAACAAAGTACGCTTTTCTAGGCGCAGGTCCCTTGACTCCAAGATGCTACTGTCTTGATGCAGCACCAGAGGCTTGGGAACAAAGAGACCAGAATGAATATGGGAACAAGCAACACC